AGGGGGTGAACCCAGATCCATTATGCAGATTTAAATGATAAATACTGTTCTATTAATAAAATAACACTTTCAAAGATTGATCATGCCTTGATTGGAGTTATGCTTTCTTAAAGTGCTGAGCACTATTGGTTTTTCTTCGTCCGCTAGAAAAGTTGCCTGTTTCATTTACTCTTAGATTATCAAGATAAAAACACTTAATTATTCAGTCAAGCCAATCCGAAACGACGCCAATGCATTCCCTGATTGTTGTTTGCCTAAAATACTTCCTCTAACAAATGAAAACGAAAGAGACCCATTTGACTAGGGAGGGTAATACAATCGCTGGAATGGTGAGTGAACATTACAAGCTGAAGTTTTCACACCAAAACCCGAAAAAAAATGATTATCAAGCACCAGTCCGCAACAATCACTCCACCCTTTCGGCCGAAATTCGCCCGTTTTGAAACCAGAATATCGAATACGGCTGACCCTACGCGCTGAATATCGTGTAGATTCGACATTGGAAAATGTTAATAGGGGGGCGCGGACGAGACTTCCAGTTGAACTGCGAACAGCGTGCACGAGTGCTGCGAGCATCACTTACTAGCCCGGGGAAGGCCGTTCCCAGTTTCTCTGTCCCTGGGAAGGTAACCGCTTAGGGGCAATAACCCATCACCCTGAGTGGTCTTACCAAGCAGGTCCCCCTTGCGCGTCCGTGTTGACCATACCCCGGGCTTAGATAACCGTTCAGCTACACCGCTTGAGAACTTCGAGTCATTTGAACACAGCCCAGCGAGAGAGCAACGTCTAGCACAGCTGAAGCCGTGGAAACTTATTACAGCCTGACGCTACCCCTTAAACCCACTATACCACTTGTATCCGTTCGCTGTTTTAGGTTGTTCTCTACGGAAGCCCGAGACACGGCCATGATTTTTCTAGTTTTTTATGCACCGTTATCTCGACTGACGATATGAACCACAAGTTCTGCTTTATCTCGAGAAAACACTAATTAACATTCATAATGGTGTTCGTCTTGATTTCAACCTACAAGAGCTGTCACATCACGGCTTCCAGTCCCAAGTAAACCAACTAACACGTAAAGTCAACGTAACTTAAGACTACCCGGTAGTCTACAGCTACCGGCAAGCCGTTCAGTTCAGCACTCTTGTACCAAAGTTTCTGTTTTCAGAGATACGCAACGAATTAATTACTTCTCTTATCTCCGACACTACACACAAGATCGTCTATCCCCCCTCGTCTGATACACCGAATTAACTTAATGAATGTCTGTTCGCTCTTGACCTCACTCAACACTTAATACGCTGCCACGAGTTTACTCTGTTGCCAATAAAATGTAATTAAAATCTGAATTACACTAACATTGTATTGGCTGTCAAGTCTGGATGGAAGAGCTAGACAACGTTATATTACAGCATGCTCCACCCAATCTCCTTGTGGCCGCTTAGTGCATTACAGCATTTGTGGTGCCCTTCACCACAATTGTGCCCTCATATACTGTAAACGTGCTTCCCAACCCCAGTGACAGGCTGGCCATAAAGTACCTAGTAAGGAGGCCATAATATTGACTCATGGCTGAAGTTTACCCAGTTCTCCAGCTCTCAAACCCAAGGTTCGGCAACAAATTGGCATCTCAAAACTGCATCAGATCTGTCGCTTTAAACATACTGAATATCTCTAAAACTTTTCCTTCCCCGCGGGGGCACTGCGCGCTGACCCACCAAAACCTCTCGCCACAAAAACTGTTTCTTTACGTCTGCAAGCGTCATTAACAAGGCCCGGAACCCCCACTGAGACTCTTAAACCTACCCTGTATATATGCATTACATTAATGCACTCCCGTATTCTGTAGTTTTCTTATCTTTATTTGTATTTTAAAAGTACTCTATTTTTTTGTGTGATTGTGTATTTTATGCACCACTGCACCAAGACAAATTCCTTGTATGTGTAAAAACCTACCTGGCAATAAATCTGATTCTGATCTGAAGTAACATTTTTCATATTGTCAACATAAATCTTATGGGTAAACTGGGAAGCTTTAATATAGGATACTTAATTATAAGGCTTTCAATGTATTTATCTCCTATGATTTTTTATTTTATTCTTAAAAATACAGATTTTTGTAATATATAAAACATTATTTACACCACAACATACACCAGCATACATATTCCAGTATTACATTCCAGTATATACATAAAGTTGGTAAATGTGTACTCTTTTCAGTCCTGTCACATTTTGAATGTGCTGAATCATCTGACAAATCAAAAACCTCTCAATCTGTAAAAGCCTCAAAATAATGTGACAACAATTAATCAGGAAATATGCACATATGCAAACTGCTGGCCTAATATGTTACCATAATAAAAAAAACAGCCAGACTGAAATGGTAATCTGTCTTCTTGTCTGAGTCTTGTTAATTTACAACAACATAAAGCGGGTGACCCCCCCCCCTCGAAGCTCCCGTAGGCGTTGGCAGTGTCGCAGCATGTTCAAAATCCCCTGGAATCGTTTGTCCACCTTCATCTGAGTAAATTCACGAATGTCATCCTCCACCACAAAATACTGACCTGAAAAACATTTCAACACAACAGTGAGACCAGTGTACTGTCAGTCACAAATATTGGCTGATTTTGACAAGAAGTCGCAAACCTTGTTCTTATGTTATTTAGCTTTTAAAAAGGTCTATGCGCTGTTCTACAATTTGATTTTCTTGCTGTGGAAAACAAAGAAGTATAACCAATTTTCACAAAAAGATGTTTCCCATTTTCAAACTGTAATGTTGTGGAGCACAATAGCAAGAGGATGAAGTGGGGCTCACAAGCACTAGGAGCAGCCTCTTTGCAAGCTGGCCAATCAAAAGAAAGTGGGCTTTAATGGATTACATATTGTTAACGTAGGCCACCTGAGCAGTGTGTCCATTAACAATCGACATTTTCACATCATTTAATTTACAATGCCATATAGTAAACGTAAATATGAAGAGTAGTAACCAGAAAGCACATGTGGTTTGTTTACCCAAGAAAGAGAAGGAGAGAAAGAGCTAGAGCGCAGTCATCTGGTGCCCTTTATCCGGTTCGCTTCCGGAAATTCTCTCACAAGTGAATTCGTGTTAAAAACAAGATAACTACAGGGCTGTTACTTTGAAAAAGAAGTTTAAACTGTAGTGAAATATGTGGATATACCTACGCGCTGCTCGCCTTGTCAAGTGTCGCTGCAGATGCAGCTGAGACTGCGATTCACAAGCGCAGTGTGACCGCTCTAATCTGTTAACATGTGCGCCATGTCTTAGACTAAGAATATAGAGCTGATGATATATATTACAGTATGATAACAAATATGGTAATAAGTAAGTACACTGCTGTATTCATGTATGCGATCAGATCAAAATGTCTCATCAGAATTCTTTGATGATAAAACTCTGGTTACAGTATTGATCAGACAATGTATATTGCAAGGTGTCATCAAACTGTCAGTACCTTTTGTATCTTTGGTCTCCTGGTCCTTAAAGCGCTGGTGCAGCTTGCGTGTATGATTGTTGAGAGTTTTCACCGACTGATGGAGGATCTTGTACTTGGCTATTACAGCTATGTTAATACTTTGCACCGCAGCATTAAGTTGATCGTATGATATACGTCCTTTCATGTACCTGAGTGAAACACAACGTTCAGCTTTACAAAACAACATAAAGCTTAAAAAAGGACACATATACACCCACACTCAATGAGTTAATGAAATCAAATGTCCAATGTTTACTTATCGTACTTACTCATGCCCTAGATATTGATTTGAAGAGTTCACTTGCAAAAAAAACAGATAAATGCCTTTCTAAATAAATACACCAACACAAGTTTGATTGATATTCCCTGGAGTGCACAAGAAAACATCAATTATCTAGAAGTGCTTATTCTTTGCAGGGTCACAGGCAAGTAGAGCCTATTTTTAAAGTATGACAGATAGGACACCTCAGACAGGACCCTCATCTCCTTGACGTTCTACTACTCCTGTAGTTTGGAATCGATAGTACTTCCACACATCCAGTGTAAAAGTTTATTAGATACAGTGGGAAAGCAGAGCCTTCAGTCATGGTGACAGGCTTAGAATTTTGGAATGACTGGAAAGATGTGGGTTCCCCCTTGTGGCAATTAAAAGTAAATGAGGAAATTAATATGAGACTAACCAAAACTGTAGGCCATTTTTTCATGCACAAGGATTTGATTAAGGAACAAAACCTAGAAACGTTGGTTGTGTATTTCTTAGACTGCTGTATTGTCCAACTGGAGTTGATAGTATAATAGTTGTAGGCTATAATGTATACTTTTAATTAAATCGTAATTATATCATTAATATTATTATACTATTATATTAACATTATACTTTTTATTTAATTATAAAGGGCAGCTGTGGCTCTGGAGGTAGAGCGGGTTGTCCACTAATCAGAAGGTTCAATCCCCAGCTCCAGTGTAAATGTGTGTGAACGGGTTGCTTAGCTGCTGATGAGCAGTATGGATGTGAGCCATTAGTCCCTGCACTGATGCTACTACTGCTGTCCCACTGTAGAAGTTGTAGTAATACATTTCATCACTGTGGTCTGCTTGGGATTCTAGCAGCCAATTTCATTCTCTACCCATCTAACCTTAAAACAAATCTGTTAGAGGTGGCACTATTCAGTGGAAAGAAGATAGTGGAACTGGTGTTGAAGTGATGCACTGAGGTTCCCCTCCTCTCTAAAGCCAACCGGACGAGGCAGGGTCTGATCAAGGTTTCTGCCTCTTAAAGGGAACTTTTTCCTTGCCATTGTCACTATGTGCTTGCTCATGATGGGAATTGTTTGGTCTCTCTGAATTTTATAAGGAGTACGGTCTAGAGCTGCTCTATATGAAAAGGATCACTTCTGCTATGATTTTGCACTGTACAAAGAAAATGGAATTGAATTGTAATGTTAGTCAGTATTAGCCTGACCTACCAGAGACAATTTACTTTGACAACTCAGACATCTCATTGCCCATGACTCTGTCCTTGAAGATCTAAACACTACTATTGTTGCTGCAGTATTACAGCATGACCCAAAACCATCATGAACAAATATGCATCGCATCATATCATATCATGCTGGATATTTGTGAGGGATAATACTTACTGAGGGATGTTCTCAAACTCTGGCATCGTGATAAACTCCATCTCTCTGACAAAGCTCTTGTTGTTCTTTTTGACAGTTTCCAGCTGTGCTGGCTGTATGTCTGCTGCCTCATTCTGGTTCATTACAGGTTCACTTCCACTGAGAGATGAGAGAACATTAAACATGAGAAATCCATCATTCAGAGCTGAAAGTTGTTTTCTATTAGCATGCTATTGCTATTGTAGTTTTTGCAGGTTTCAACAAGTTAAATTTAAGACCCTTTAAGACCATAATGAATGCAATTCACCGACTTTTTTTACATCCATACTGGCAAAAAAGTACATAAGATATTAAGGAAAATCAAGTCCCAGGATTACATAATCAGTCAGTGACCAAAAAAAATAAAATAAAATGGTGCACGACCGCGTGCGACGACTGGCCAAAGCCGGCGACACGCACAGCGAGATCTCATCATGGACGTCACTTGTCGCGGACAGGTCAACACGCGTATACCGAGGCCTTACCGTCAGCTACAGCTATTGGCCAGTGGCTACGGAAGCCGTTCGTGCAGCGTATTAGTTTGAAGTCAAGACGAAACACATTGAATTAGAATTTTATCTCGTGAGAAACAAACTTCGGTACAAGAGCTGATTACATACACGGCGCCGTAGCCATCTGCTGTAGCTGTAGACTACCGGTTAGCTAAGTTACAACTTTACGTAGTTGTTTACTTGACTGGAAGCGTTGGGCAGGCCATTGTAGTTAAATCAAACGAAACATTATTAATTAATTAGTATATCAGAAAAAAAACTTTTGTCTATACGAAGATAACAAATTAAAATCGTGTATCACAAGATAACGAGCATAAAAAAAAAGAACCACAAGGCGTTCTCGGCTCTCCGTAAAGAACAACCTAAAACACACAATACATGTTTAAAGGGGGTAGCTTGCTAATAATTTTCACCGGAACTTTAGCTGGCTCACATTGCAGTTTCTCTCCTGCTGTGTTCAATGACTCAATTCATCAAGCTGTAGCTAACGTTAGCTAAGCCTATGTCAACACGAGCGAAGCGAACTGCTTGTAAACCAATCAGGTAATGGTATTCCCCTAACGTTACCTTCCCAGAGAAAGAAACTGATGATGCAAGGCCCTTCGCGCTAATATCTCCATGCACTCGCACCTGTTCGCAGTTCACTGAATCTCTCCCCCCCTTTAAACATTTTCTCATCGAATCTACACGATTCACGTAGGTCACCTATTCTGGTTTCAAAACGGCGAATTTCGCCGAAAGGTGAGTGATTTTCATGTCTGATTAATCTTGTTTTCGGTTTTGTGTGAAAACTTCAGCTTGTAATGGTTCACTCACATTTCACATTTTATACCTCCCTATCAAATGGATCTCTTTCTTTTCATTCTGTTAGAGGAAGTATTTTAGCAAACAACATCAGGAATGCATTGGCTCGTCGGATTGCTTGACTGAATAATTAAGTGTTTTATCTTGATAATCTAAATAATAAACAGCAACTTTCTAGCCTACAAAATAACAAATAGTGCTCAGCACTTTAAGAAAGCATAACTCCATCAAGGATGATCATCTAAATGTGTTATTTTATTAATAGAACATATTTATCATTTAAATCTGCATATGGATCTGGTTCAGTATCAGCATCAACAATGACAGAAGGCTCTATTTCAGAGAAAACTGCAAAAACATGCATAAATGGCCTTATTATGCAATGCAAAGCAATTTGTTTTCTTGGGGTTTGGATGAATTTGTCCCTGTCCTCTTTGAGAGTTTGATCTATGTTGATACCAATTGCTGCTGTGGGCCTGTAGAGCTCACTGAGACATGATATGTGATATTTAGCTACACAAATAACCTTGACAATAAAAATAAAAAACCTTGACATCCACCTGGCCTGGACTGGTACCAAATATCTGTCACTTTGTCCTCAGCTCAGCCTAACTTTCTGCCATATTTCACTGAAAACTGTTGAAGCTGTTTGGAGACATTAAACAGCCAGAACCAAACACATACAGTAAGCCCTTTGATAGTGACGATAGTATGATCATATGAATAATAAAACATTAGGAGCAATAGGGCAAATGGTTTTGCCAGCAGCCTGCATTCATTAACAAGAGTGCTGCTTATTAGTGATTGGTAAAGGACTGTGTGCTCGTGGCTGTTTGTATTCAAAGCCGAGGGATTCAATTTACTGCTATACATTTAAAATGCTCCTTGGGGCATCTTTTGCAAGCTGGTCTCATTTGTGGAGAGCGCTAATGGTAACCAAAAGAGCTGAGGAGAGAAAAAACAAAGAGACTGATTCCTCTCTACATTATTCTTCCATTCATCCTCACCGTTCCATCCTCCAACATGAGCTGCAGGGAGGCGTCGCCATTTTTGTAGTCCTTCGTCAGCTCAGCAGACTTCCACACCTCCTCTGCATCGGGGATCCACACCCGAGCACACTGAGAGACGAGGAAACAGGAGGGAAAGTTGGATTAAGACATGTCATAGCACCAAGAGCCAGGGGTGATGTCATTTCACATGACCATCCACAACCTTTTTCAGGACTTTAATGCCTTCTTTAAACGGGGATGACATGCTGACAGCATTAGAAATAAACCATAGAAAAATAATGTTTTTCCAAAATACCACACTTCTAAACTCATCAGAAAAAGTATTCTAGTGAAATAACCCAGCTTGATTCGTTTTTTTACTCCACTTCGGTTCAACTCAGACTCTTTTAAGAGAGGGGGATTGCAGTTCACTGGAGAGTTTACTTCCTTTCTACTGATAGTTAAAACCGGATTACCTTAGAGAAAACACTGGACTCTTGTGATTTTACAGTCATAAGCACATGGTTCGTAATGGTCGGTAAAACTGTGGGAACAAACTGTTGAACAAATAGTAGCTCATAACAAGTGAAGAATGCAGTTGTGATCAGAAGTTAAAATTCACACACACACACACACACACACACACAGTTCACTATAAAACAGTTCCAGGCCTTACAGACTTGTGACTGGAGGTAATCAGCTGATCACAGACATGTGGTGAAAAACAGTGATGAACACTGGCAGTCACATGGCTGAGGAATCTAGCTCAAAAACGTAGACGCATGTACACACACACACGCGCTTTAGTTCGAATGGTTGGCCGGACGACTGCGCAGTGGTTACGAGATTGAGAGAACCTCGCTGTGAACTTTAAAAACCCAGACAGATGGGGGCCTGCAGTGTGTGAATGTGTGCGCAGAAATAAGTCAGTGGTCAAACAACACTGAGGTTGTTTTTCTTACATTTGACATTACGTAAGAAGGAAGATGAGAGGAAATTACATTAAGAGGTTTAACAGAACGGTTTCTGGTGGGGTTGGTTTTATCTGCTTCACCTGACACATATGTGAGTTAGTTTTGTGACATAGAAATGAATGAGCTGTGAAAATATACAGATGATACAGATATAAAGACGCCTCATCCCTTTGTCTTTGTTAAAGCATCGTTCAGGACACACAAAGACTAAAAATAAACGCACAGTCACGCACGTACCTCCACAAATCAAATCACTGCGGGATTTACACTAAAACCTTACCGTGTTATAATCTCAACACAAATGAGGATTTTCACTTTGCTGATACTCATTTATTTCAAATACAAGCGAATACTGAACACACACACACAGTGAGCCACTAACCATGGAACATCTGAATGACACTTTCTTGATGAGGACTTGGGCAACTGAAGCACATGACGATGAGCGGCGAGAATCTTTCTGACAACAATTTCATGGCTTTGTTATATAAACAGCTGATTTCAGAGAGGCCGGAGAGAAGGAGCTCATTGTGGAAGGGCACAACGGGAGAGGAACTGGTTAATGTGATCTGCTGCTTCACTACCGATCATCTGAATCATGACATCATGGTCACACACGCCCTCCCTCCCTCCCTCCCTCCGTCCGCCTGTCTCTCACTAGTTAAGAAGAGAAGAATGGAGAGAGAACCCTGAAATCAAAGAGAAAGTGTAACTTCCTGCCGATACTCCAATATCTCTAACTCGAGTGCCATCAACAAACTATCTGTCCTCTGTGAACACAGAACTGCACTGGATGTGTTTGGAAGTGTTTTTAGTTAAAGAACACCATCAAACCCCCAGGTTGTCCCAGTTTGTTTTTCTTTCTCTAATCCCTTTCTCTCTCCACCCCTGCAGGAGCACCAAACTGTGTGAGCAGTGCGGTCAGACAGACAGTGTACGGTGTGGTTTAGGTTGACAATTGAGTGACAGGTCAAAGCAAATCTGTGCAAGTCAGAGGATACAGTTAATAAAAAACACAACCAAAATCAGAAAAGAAACAAAAAGATGAAGGGAAAAGGGAACTATACAGGGAAAACTTCAATAATAATGCTGAACATGTTAGTGGTCTGTTGAACTGTATAATGGCTGGCACATACGCTGATATGAATGTGTCTGTGATAAGCAAATATCAGCTGATAAATGGGCTGGTGTCGGCTCTACTGTGTACAGTAGAAAGATATCACAAGTGCTGCGTTGCTCTTGAACTGTATGCGTGAGGTCAAAGAAAAAAAAGAAAAGCATGAAGTGAGACAGACAGACAAAGAGAGAGAGAGACAGAGTATGTCTGTGTTGAATTAAAATCACAAGCTAAATCACAAACGACAGGTCACAACCTCACAGGCCAAGATATCTGAGGTCAAACATCCCTGTCTTACCCTTAATAAGAGACATATTTTTTCTTCAATTAAAGATGTAATAAATAAAAACAACAAACATTTTGAATTCAAGACAATTTCTGTAATAAGTGGTTTCATTTGCTAATAAAGAATCTGCAATAAAAACATTAACGTTGACATGTTATTGGTACAATCAGCCGGTCCTGCATCTTGGGGAGGGGCAGTGTTTTCTTTGACAGCTATGTTTTTGATATTGTGTTTTCATTACTTTGCCTTAGTTAATATTAGGTAGCACTATGTCATGTTTTCTGGATACTGTAGTTTTTTTAAATGGTTATGTCTACCCCTGTTCAGTCCTCTTCAGTTAGTGCTTGAGTTTAGTTCAGTTATGTTGACCTATTTTATGGGCCCAGATGAATTTGTTCCTTTTTTTGCCTTTTGTAAATAAAAAAAGAAAAACGCTTACGTAACAAAAACAGGAAAACTGTGTGCTAAAGGGTTCAATTTACAAATACAGGCACATCTAGCTTCTGTCTATCCCTCTTTCCATTCCACCATTTTGTTAGTTGATTCACCTTTTTGGTCCCTACAGGAGACCGTCCCATCAGCCAGCCTCCTAGCAACCAAGAGAGAGAAAGAGGCAGAGAGACATACGGGAGAGAGGGAGGAGAGGAGGAGGAGCAGGAGGAGGAGGACAAAGGCTAAAAATAGCAACAGCGAGTTTTGAGCAGCATCACACCTCAGAGAGACTTTGCTGCGCTACTGAGCACACTTCCTGATCCTCGTGCACACACACACACACACACACACACACACACACACACACCAACACACACACATTTGTTCACATAATCCTGAATGGGTTAACGCTGAAATATGCTGCTAGTCTGGACATTTCTTTTCTTTCTCTCTCTACGGGGGTTGGTAGCTTAGTATGGGACGAAAAGACAGACAGACAGCAATATAATACAGCTGCAGGGGCTATGAATCATATTTATAGACCAACAAACTCCCCTGGGTTCAGAAAACAGAGCAGAGGTGAAGGATGAAAGTCAACCACACACACACACACACATGTTTCAAGGTCATATCCCTCCACAATGAAACACAAGCTGGAAAAGAGGAACATCTGAAAGCGGGAGAGACAAATGTGATGAGTCAGAGCGCAGCCTCTCTGTCTGTCTTACAGAGGGATGGACGGTGGCCAGGCTGGTGTGTTATGGGCGGCAGGCGAAGAGGAGACGGGTGACGAAAAAAAAAAAGGAGTAAAGACGTCAGAGCTGTGACATCCGAAATCACATGACGAGAGTGTCTCTGCACTGAGCTCGCTCCACATATGCCGCATGCATGAGTGTACACAGACGCCGCCTATGAACTCTGGGTCTGTTTCCTTTTGTTTTTCTTTACCCCGGGACTCTGGGTGTGGTCACACTGATGTGAGGGTCACATGTGTCCTGAGGAGATAAATGTTTATTTCATTTAAATGTGCAAAAAGCAAGAAGGGTTTAGATAGATGAAGATAGCAATAAAAGAAAAAAAAATAGAGAATACCAGTTGTATAATGTTTAATAGATCTGGATTACGACATGGAGAGCTTGCATAAAAACAATGCAACACCTCCTACGACTCCTGCTGCCAGTCAGTAAGAAGAATGGTGACGTATTCAATGTATTCAGTGTGATCCTGCCCTCAGCACACGTTTCATTGCTTTTCTTCTACTCCAGTAAAGGCAGTGCAGACCCAGTCGAGTGACTTCTGATTTGGTTATTACACTAGATTAAAGCACTACTACAGTATTTAGTATTGGACCTCCATATGGCTGAAGGATTCACAAGAGACTGATTAAACACAGATTGAAGCAGCAGTGACCGAGATATCGTGACCTTTATTCTTTGGGTCAAACCTACACGGTCAAGCCTCTTCAGTCTTTTGTAAGACGCTCCCTGTCTGTTAAATGCTCATGCCTTTCAAACTCCACTGTTAATAACCCTTTATAACACAGGCTTTCTGTTATAAATGTATAGTGTCTGAGCCCACGCTGAGATAACCCTCATGACATCATTATGACACCATCAGGGTAATTTTTTCTCTAACTTTCTCTAACTCCACTGTTTTCATAGTAAACTGCAGTTGTAAAATAGATGGAGTGTCCCTTTCATGTGAACAGGTCACAAGGATCACTGTCATTAAAACTGGTCTTTCTCACCATTGTTATTTATGGTAATCACCCGTGCTGACTCTAAGAAAATAAGTATATCACTGCCTGTCGTCATCATCACAACAACATATTTTAATTCAAATACTTTGTATCATTGTTTGTATCGAAACCCTGAAACGAGCCAACACTTTCCCTCACAGTGGCTGTCAGGAGGTCAGTTCACAGCTCCTGAAGGTACAAGGCTGGCCTGATGCTAATCCTGGTTTAACTGAGACAAAGGATCAGGACCTGATTAGGGTAACTCCGGGTTTAACAGTGGCTAATCTTATTGCAGTCAACTACACCAAGATTCATTACATTCTCATATGGCACCAGGTTACCACTACAGCAACTACTGCTATTGTGACCACAGAGGCTTATATACTGTGTCCATTCCTGTCCTGAACCACAGGCAGATTCACTGAACATGGAATAATGTAAGCATCCGAAAGCTGACATTAAGGCAGGAGACAAACAATAAGCATGGATGTTACATTAATTAAATACTTATGAGATTAAACAGAATCTTAAACTGCGTAACAAAAGATCAAAGATGGTGGTAATCTCTTAATATGAAGAAAG